CAGCATACTTTTTAAATAAATGTTTTAATGCATTTATTATAAATATAATACAAATATCTCTATTAAAATTTTATTACACGATTGGTTGAAATAACATTGTACTTTACAAAAGTCATCAGCTTGGCTGGGCGCGGTGGCTCAAGCCTGTAATCCCAGCACTTTGGGAGGCCGAGACGGGAGAATCACGAGGTCAGGAGTTCGAGACCATCCTGGCTAACCTGGTGAAACCCCTTCTCTACTAAAAAATACAAAAAACTAGCCGGGCGAGGTGGCAGGCGCCTGTAGTCCCAGCTACTCGGGAGGCTGAGGCAGGAGAATGGCGTAAACCCGGGAGGCGGAACTTGCAGTGAGCTGAGATCTGGCCACTGCACTCCAGCCTGGGCGACAGAGCGAGACTCCGTCTACCAAAAAAAAAAAAAAAAAAAGTCATCAGCTTTTTCCCATTTAAATAGCATTTAAATATTAAATTAAAATAACATTAAGTGTTAAGTTAAAAATAGCAATTTCCAGTTTAAAGATTGTTTTTTCTTTTGCAATGGCTTCACACAAATTTTTAACATAAACTCGATAGGTTGTTTATTTGACAACATTCCTGGATGCTAGAGAATATCCATAAATATAGAACTAAAATCAACCCAGGGTTCCCAGGGATTCACTCACAGTGACAGCTGGCTGGAGGGTGGTCTGAGAGTGTGCAAACACATGGGGATTTGGGCTTTATCATCAAAGCACTAGTGAGCCCCAGGACTGAGCACACAGGGGGCAGCAGGGGCTGCAGAGCCCACTCTGTGGTACTTACGGAAGGGAGGGGATGTGTGGGGGGGATGAGTGGGGGGGGATGTGTTGGGCGGATGTCTGCAGGACCCTAGAAAGGGGTGAAGAGGGCAGAGCATTTGCAGGTAGATGATCATATTAGAACTGTTGCCTGCCTATACTTGGTTGGCTTCAGCGATCATAAAGGAAAGTGAATTCATTCACCAGACGTAGATGAGACAAAGTAAATGGACTTGATGTTTCCTTGAATGGAAATTGAGGAATATAAAAGGTTTGGATGGAAGAAGGGAAGGTGGAGAAACAGACGGAGGGGCAAAACACCAGGAACCACCAAAGTGGAAGACAGGAGCCCTTAAAGTGGTGTTTCATCTTCACAATTAGCAGATGAAAGAGCAAGAAACTCAACATCATGCATATGCAGAGTTATTGTTAGAAAACATTTACATAGTGTGACTGACACAGTACAGTAACAAAAATCTGTGGAAATAGTTTGAAGTAAGCATACACAATTTCTTCATTTTAAAATTTTACTGAGATATTATTGCTAGTATTATTACAAAAATATAAAGAATTAATATAAAGATTAATTAATATGAAGTTTAATTGAATTCCTGTTCTAAGTTAAGATTTTGTAGGTAAGAGAAACATGGATTCCAAGGAAGAAATGGCAAGAGATCCTGGGATACTTTGGCTTCACCAGGTCAGGAATCATAAGGATTAAAGAAAGCCACCGTGACCTGATGAGGGACTGCTTCCTAAGAGAACCCTGGTGTCCTGACAGCCATGTGGTGTTCTGAGCTCCCCCTTTTGTCCTGAGCATCACGTCATATCCTGAGCACCCCCTGGTGGTTCTGAGCAACCCCTGAGTGTCCTGAGTGTCCCCTGGTGTCCTGAGTGCCCCCTGGTGGTTCTGAGCTCCCCCTTGTGTCCTGAGTGTCAACTCATGTCCTGAGCGCCCCATGGTGGTAATGAGCGACCGCTGGTGTCCTGAGCGCCCCCTGGTGGTTCTGAGTTCCCTCTTGTGTCCTGAGCACCACCTCATGTCCTGAGCACCCCCTGGAGGTTCTCAGCAGACTCTGGTGTCCTCAGCACCCCCTGGTGTCTTCACCACCCCCAGGTGGTTTTCAGCACCCCCTGGTGACTTCTGAGCCCTCCTTTGTCAGCCTCCTACTGGTTCTGAGCTTCCCTTCATGTTTCTGATCAGTGTGTACCACACAGTCCCCTCCTGTCTTTCTACAGCGAGATTTGTGTCTGGGCTCATCACACAGATGTCCCCTAACTGAGTCTCTCATGGTAATACATGGCCTTGTCCTCGGCTCTCAGGTTAGTCATTTTGAGGGAGATTGTGCTGACAAGGGTGTCCCTGAGGATTATGATTTTTCTTTGAATTCATAGAAGGTACCACTGGCAAATTCCACTTGAATGACTCCCTGTTGCTTCCTACACCAACTCCTGTCCTGAATTCTGCTGGGCTGAGCTCATGCTAAAGTCAACGAAGATTAATTCAGAGGCTTTGTATAAAATGCTCTGAGAATTGTTGGGCTGTACCATTTCTCTTCCAGATTCCACCAGTGAACCTCATGTAGGACTCATAAAAACACAGAGGGAACAGGCTGAGAAGCAGCCACAGCTAGGCTGGATCCACAGGGACCTTACCTCTGAGAATGATAAGAGAAGCCCAGATTAGCACAGACCCTAAGGTGTGGACACTGAGGAAGGGCACAGACATCAGGTGGTATCCCCTTCATGGACAGGGGATAAGGTGTCCTGAGATCACACAGTCATTTCCTCCTTTCTGGGTGCAGTGTTATCTACCAGGAGATACTGTGATGGACTGTTGATTGGACTCCTGCTTGGAGGTGTTGCTTGCAAAAGAGCACCAGTTACAGTATTAACAAAGGGGTTTTGCTTGGCTTATGTTGCCCAGGAATAGGGGCTACTGTGTATCCTCAGGCAGTGGGTGTGGCCATGTAGCTTCCAAAAGATGCCGTCCTTTGTGTTAAGCTGCCAGGGCAGGTGGCTGCACAAAGCAAGGTGAGGGCTGGCCCAAGTGGGTTTCTGCACTGAGTATCCGTGTGCAGGGCAAGCAGCAGCCTCTGTGGGTGTGGGGGACAGGGGTGCTTCACAGGCCGCTGGGTTGATGTTCCAGAGGGGACCATGTCTTCCTCTGCTGCACAGAAGTTTGTTCTGGGAGTGGGGAGTGGCAGCTGGTGGTAAGCCCCACACACTTCCCACACACTTGGTGACGCAGATGCATCCCCGTGGTTTTCCACTGGCAGCAACGAGATCAGTTCCAGTCAACCTGTGATCAGTATCTGCAAATGCCAGGAGTCATAAGCTGTCCCCATGGAGACTGCAGCCGTGGGTTTCATGCCATGCCCCTTCCTGTCTGCTGCAAAGCCGGGCACCAGCGCTCTTCCCTGCCCGGGCCCTGGCCAAGGGAGTTCGTCCCCACCTGAGGTTACATCACACACCCCTGTTGAGAGCTTCTTTCAACCTGTGACCAGTGCCTGAAAGTTTTGGCTGTTCTCCCCAGGGTCCTCTGTGAAGACCATTAGGAAATAGCTGTCCTCAGACTGCAATGAGATCTGGGGGCTTATGGAAGGGTCTTCCTGCCACTGCCCTTACTTTTACATTCCACGACCCTCCAAGAGTGGGTGCTGGCACGGGGTGAGTTTAGAGCCTTCTCCTGTGGCCTGGACTTTCAGGATCCCAGGTGGGCGTGTGTATCCCAGAGGCAAACTCTCCCCTCAAACTCTGGGGACTCCCAGCCCTTCACCTGACTCACAGTGTGTGCTGCAGCTTCCTGCTTTTTTCAGAAAATCTGCAGATTATTTCAGTCTTTCTGTTCAGTTCCTGCATTGCTTCTTGAAAATAAGTCCACAATGTTCATCTCTCCATATTAGTTTGTCCTTCCAAGTGGAAGAGGGATGCTAGCAGTGCCCTCTAACCTGCCATCTTGGAATATAAGTTTGATTTTTTTATTCTGGAAACTTATTGAATCTCTTCATTGCTTCCAACCTTCTTCCGTGGAGTCTTTCGGACTTTTTATAAATAAGAGCATATAATATGAAAAAATATGTCTTACATTTATTCATTACTGTATGGATGACTTCTGTATCTTATTCCTGCCTAACTCTTCTGTCTAAAACCCCCTGTGCTATGTTGAATAATATTAGTGGTGGTGAGGATCTTGTCTAGTTTCTAGTCTTAGAGGAAGACAAAATTTTCCTCATCGAGTATAATGTTAGATGTGGGTTTGTTTTATGTTGTCTTTATTGTGTTGAGGTATATATTTTATGCATTTGTTCAGATTCTTTATAATGAGAGTGTGGTGGATTCTGTCAGCGGCTCTTTCTGAATCTATTGATATGGACATATAGTTTTAGTCCTTCAGTATTTTGATATATCACCTTTATTTGTGCAGGCTGAAACTTCATTGCATCCTAGAGATAAACCACACCTGATCATGGTGAATTCTATTGTTAACGTGCTGTTGAATTTTGTTTGTCATCACTCTTGAGAGTTTTTGAAACTATGATAATCAGGGGTATTAGCCTGTAATTTCATTTATTTGTAGTTTCTTTTCCTTGCTTTGGAAATAGGGCCTTCCAAAACAAGCTTGGATGTATTCCTTTTTATTTTGTTGGAAATTTCAGTAGAGATTCTATTTTCTTTTTTTTTTTTTTTAATAAAATTCAGTAATGAATCCATGAAGTTCTTGACTTTTCTTTAAGATGTTTGAAAAACCACTGACTCAATCTCTTTAACTCACTGGTCTGTTCAGAATTTTTTTTTTTTTTTTTTTTTTTTTTTTTTGAATTGAAGTCTCACTCTGTTGCCCAGTCTGGAGTGCAGTGGCTCAATTTTAGCTTTCTGCAACCTCTGCCTCCCAGGTTCAAGTCCTTCTCCTGCCTCAGTCTTCCGAGTAGCTGGGACTATGGGACTACAGGGGAACACCACAAAGCCTAACTAATTTTCATATTTTTAGTAGAGATGGGGTTTCGCCATGTTGGTCACACTGATCTCGAACTCCTGACCTCAGGTGATCCACCCGCATGGGCCTCCCAAAGTGCTGCGAGTACAGGCATGAGCAACCACGCCCAGCCCAGATTTTTTATTTCTTAGTGGTTCAGTTTTGATAAATTTTAAAAAACATACAACCTATCTATTTTAATTTATCCTAAACCAAACAGGTTCTAAAATATTTGCAGGAAATCTACTTATGAAGGAAGTCTTTGTTATACCGAATACTTATGAATTGGCACAAAGATGAATTATTCAGGGCATATTATTAATGAAAACAATAACAAAAACAAGAGAACCTATTAATATTTCAAAAAGTGATTAAATGATTTTGTAAAAGTAGAAAATAAAAGGAGGGAGTGAGAGCGGATAGGAGGGAGGAAGGCAAGCAAGCAATGATTAACTGTGTAAAATTTTCACTAATTAAAATACTGTCATATTGAAGAGGTGCCTGTTAGGCAGGCTTTTGGTGTTAACTATGTAATATTCACCATGAACAACCTTGTAGAACACACAAGAGCCCGCTCAGAGAATCCACCTCCCATGGTTAGGTCCCCTATCCAGTTGCCTTAGGGGCTGGGAACCCTCCCACGTTGTTCTCTGGTTCTGGCTCCTGAGGACAAAAAGTGTTTCCTCCGCGAGATGATAGAGAGGTCCCTGGGGAGGGAGTCTCTGGCAGCTCACTCTGCACCTGCACTGTGGAGGGTTTTTGGTGCTCTCAGTGCTGGTTTCTCTCACTGTGACTTTCGCACAGTAATACGTGGCGGTGTCCGAGGCCTTCAGGCTGCTCCACTGCAGGTAGGTGGTGCTGATGGACTTGTCGGCTGAGATAGTGACGTGGCCTTGGAAGGACGGGTTGTATCTGGTATCAGAATCACCAGGATAGATGCTCCCCATCCACTCCAGGCCTTTCCCGGGCATCTGGCGCACCCAGCTGATCCAGCTGCTGGTAAAGCTGTATCCAGAAGTCTTACAGGAGATCCTCAGAGATTCCCCGGGCCTTTTCACCTCTGCTCCAGACTGCACCAGCTGCACCTCGGCACAGACTCCTGTGGGGGAGATACAAAATTTGAATTGGGGCTCCTTTCTCCCCATTCTTTTCTGTGACCTCAAACCCTGGGCAGGACTGACCTTGGAGAACAGCCAGGAGGAGGGCGAGGATGGCAGTTGACCCCATCGTGGTGGAGGACAGAAATGAAGCACTGAGATCCCCAGCTGTGCGGTGAGGGAGACTCACTGTGAAGGGGAGCCCTTGGTTTAAGTGGGGAGGCCCCCACTTGGATTTGCATAGTTGTCACCCTGCCCTGAAGGGAAGAGTCTACAGGGTTTATAACCCAGAACCTCAAATGCAGAAAAAGACTGGCCAGAGCCTCCTGGGAGGGGGCAGAATAAGGTCTCAATAATTCCTTACACCCTGCTATTGTCCCTCGCCACAATTTTCCATGTTTCTTTGAGACTCATCCCAGGGCCTCCCTTCTTCCACCCTTCTCTGTGACCCTGTGAAGGTAATTAATCTAGATGAAACTATGTATGTTTAAAAAATGAGAAATAGAGCCAGGAAAGGCCATGAAGAGAAAATTCAAATGCACATATGCCTGATAACAAGAACTACCAAAAAAACTACTCTCTCTTCCCTGGCAATTTCATGAGTTGGACTATGGTCTTGGCACCAAGCAAGGGCAGGACCACCTCAGGCCTTCAACAGTCCTCAAATTGATTAACTTGCCAGACCTTCACCCACGCAAAAATCACACAATTTTCCTGGCCATTTTGTCTTCTAGATTTCACACTCTGCCAATTCAACATGAATAGGGAATAGTTGTTTAGGTCTCTGAATTGCTGATGGACCTGAAGGGATCCCCATTGCTCCAACCCAACTCCTGGTAGTGCTGTTTTAAGTCCTTTGTGTCAACCCCAGCACCTTCTTGTTTAGTTCTTTCATTCTTTAACTTTTATTTTATGATACCAACGTTGCTTGGAAGAGGCCCTTAATTATCCCCTTTGTCTGCCCTGTTTTATGGTGAACCATTCTCATTTCCTTAGCACCTAAAAGATCCAAAGGAGAAGCCAAGGAAACACAAACTACACAGGTTCTAAAGCTATACAGGATCTGGGATCCAGTGCATCAGGAACATCCTACTTGAGGTTGGGATCAGAGACAGCCATCTGTCATGTGTCTGTTGTGAGCTGTGGGTCCAGCATCCTCCCAAACGTTCTCCTCTCATCTGCAGCACAGGAAGCCAGAGACATTGCTATGTCAGTCATTCTCACAGTCCATTGGCTAACTTTGTTCACAATCCGATGATATCAATTAATGATATCAATCATATCACAAAATGAAGCCAGTTTCCACTCCTGGGCTACCTTCTGTGTGGCTCTTGTGTGTTGGTGTTGTTTCTGGACAACTGTACCCTTTGGTGGTGAATGGGAGTCTAGCAGCCTCGGCTCACAGAGCACAGTGCAGGGCTAGATATGCATCTTTTTACTATTATTTTAGCTGTCACAAATATTAATTGCATATTTGGGTTGTTCTTCGTTACTTTTACATTTCCTTATTCAGGAAACAACTCCTGGGAAGCTGTGTCTGTCATTTCTAAATTCCATGGATCACTTTTACTTCCTGCTGCTTATTGGAGCGCACACGCCATCTCATGCCATATGATTCCATAGCCATCTGGGCATTGAATGTCTTTTATCCCACACTTTCTCATCCTTTGATATTATAAACAATCCTCTAGCCATGTGTCACAAGTCAGGAACTTTCTAGCATTCTCCACCTCTGATGTAATTGTGTTGAGTGTCCCAAGACCATCCTCAGGCCCCATAATCAATAGAAATAAAGGACTCAAGACAAGCTGTTATTCTCATGGGTGCAGCTTTATTATAGCAAATGAATATGAATTAAAACAAGCAAAGGCACTAGGGAGAAGGCCCTGAGAATCCAAGCACAAGCACTCAGGTGTTCTTTTCCTGAGGAGTCTCTTGTCCCCAGTTCTCCCAGCAGTGATGAATGACACCACGTGTGAAGCATTGTCCACCAGAGAAACTCACCTGAGTGCTGGGACCCAGTGCTGTTTATTGGGGCCCGTCACAGATGTGTGTGGCACCTGCACGACTGACCTCCAGTGCTCAGATGCCGGCCCCTTGAGCAATAACAGGCATTCACCATAAGTCATTATGAAAACAGCTAGTATAGTGTGCACCCAACAGAGACACAGACAAACACAAACAAAAATACATTTTAACTAATAAAATAATCATAATATTAAGAGATAAGAGGAATGTCTTGGAAGTGATTGCTATGGTTATCACCTTGATGGTGGGGACAACTTTGCAGATAGATGTACACTTGACTCCAAACTCACTGAGTTAACTATGTTAAATCATGTGTAGTTTTACAGATGTGAACCTTACCTTAATCAAGTGCTTTAATAACACTACCAGGGGGAGTTTGCCAAAAAGGCAGATATCATCTCCCAGGAGCTGAATATGGGCCTGGCTTGAGAAAGCACTTTTTTGGGAATTTTCAGGGTTTGCACAACCCAAGCCTGCTCGGTAAACACTTTCCTGTACACAAGTCCAGGTGAGATGGAAACAGGCTGTTGGAATAAAAGGCAAGGCTCAGAAGAAAAGAGAGAAGTAGTGAACAAGGAATGACCCCATGTAGGGTCAGTGTGGATGGGAGGCGCTGCTGAGAGCCTGTGGGTGGAGAAGAATGTGGACCAGCGGCAGGAGGAAAAAAAGGCAGGGCGGTTCTTCCTGAGCCAAAGCAGATATTTCACGGAGGGCATGGGCAGGGGCATGCACAGGCACAGACGGGTGCCATGGAGTAGGGGAGCCTTTGGGGTAGAGACCCAGGACACAGCATAAGAAATGCAGACACTCCCAAGGCAGCAGGCACAGAAACAATGACAAGCCTCTACCTTGGGCTTCCATCCATATATCTAAGATAAAGTTAACTGATTTTCCCACTCGATCACAATGACTGAATCTCACAGTCATTTCTGAAACACACAGTTATTGGTACTCACAGGTTCTGGACAAAACGTTGATATCCCAAAATACACTAGTATAGGAAAAAAAAATAAGAATCTGCTTCTATCCAGTTTGCAAGGATTCAAGTGCAATTCAAGAGAGATTCTGACATTAGATTTATGCAAATATATGGTAACAATTTGTCTCTTCAAACTTTGATGGTAATAAGAAACAAGTGACAACAATTGGCCTTGTATTATTATTTCTATCTACAATGATGGTAATATTTGAGGCGTGATAACCTAAGTGTCCTAATTCTGAACCCACATTTAGAACTAAGCAGCAATCACTGGCAGCAGGGTCCCCCACATGGAGACACACCTGACTCAATAAAGCTGCACCTGGGGGTCTCTGCAAGCTCCAAGGTGTGGAGAAGCAGCTCCCATCTCAGACACAGTTGGATCCATCTCTGCTCCTTCTCTGAGGAAGGTGAGCCTTAGTGTGTGGAAAGGACCAAATCTGCTCTATTCAAGATCTCTGCACCTGAACGAAACCAAGGAATATGATCACCATGTGGTTTCAGCCTGGATTGAACAATTTCTTAGGAGAAAGGCAATGCTCTGCCAAATCCCTACTCAGAATTAAGAAATAATGCATGTGTTCAGGAGAAATGTGGACAGTTGTTTACAGATTCTTTTCTTGATTCTCTATGTCATCTGAGAGAAGCAAGAAAAATCATGGTTTCTATATAAAAATGCATAAACAGTGTGTTTCCCCTGAGAACACACCCTCCCATTTCTCCAACATCTGGGAACCCACAGACCAGGCACCCAGCTGCTGTTCTCTGACATCCATCACCCGGTTAATGCAAATCACGTGTCCTGGGAGCGCCTCCCAGACAGTGATTATACACAGTGGAGATTGTAAGTCGTGTCTGCTGCTGGGACACAGGAGAGATCCCTGATGGGTGGGTTTGGCCCAGGGAGGCATCAATGGCTTTACTAGACTTAGAGTGGACCATGGCATAATTAGGAGGTTTGATCAGAGTTCCCTGATTTCTCATGTCTTTGTCATCAGATCTGCATCCACGTCCGACAGTTTCCACAGCCTCCCTGGCCTCCTGTGACATCTTCTCCCTCAATTAGTGATTCATTCCTTAGGGACATATGAGAAATTTTTTTCTAGTAGTAACCTTTTCCAATCCAGAGGCCTCAGTGGTAGGCAGAGAACCATAAATACAGAGAGGCTCCAGGGAGAACACATTTGGTGCAGAAGCAGCCACAGGGCCTGACAGGAAAGCAGCCCTTGAACTCCACCTGCCCCTGCCCCTGCCCTGGGCTGCTCCTGTCTCCTGTGGGTGCAGAGTGCCCCCTGCAGCCAAGTCACCCCCCGTGTCCTGCAGGGCCGTCTGTCTCTGAGCCCACATGGACTTCCCATCATGGTGTCTCCTGCACAGTATTACCCTGCCGTGTTCTGGGTTCTCAGGCTGTTCATTTGCTTGTACAGCATGTACTTGGTGTTGTCTCTGGAGATGGTGAGTCTGCCCCTAACATAGGCTGCATCGTATTGATGAGTTTCACCACACCATGTAACTGCAGCCCATTCCAGCCCCTTCCCTGAGGCCTGCAAACCCAGTGAATCCCATAGCTACGGAACGTGAATCAAGAGGATGCACAGGAGAGCCTCAGAGACCCCTCTAAGCTGTACCAAGTCTCCCCCAGACTCTGTGAGCTGCGCCTCACACTGGACACCTGCAAACACAGAGACATTCTGGTTAGAAACTGTCACATAGCCACTATTTCTTTCGCAAGCATCCACTTGACCTCCCAAGGTACGCTGGAACTCAAGGTCCAACGTCACCTTTGAGGCCCTTGGTCCACTGCGAGGTCATTACACCTGCTCTGCCTTCAGGAGTCTGCGGCTGCGGGGAAGGGTCAGGAGAGTGACCTCTTACTTACTGCTCACCGGTCCTGAGTCACAGAAATTTAAATGCAGAGTTTCACATGTTCAATTCTATGAAGGCAGCAGATAACCTGAGAGAATACAATAGTACACATACGAGGATTGATGAAAACAAAAATTAACAATTTAAATTTTAAAAATCACATAAAAAATCACTGGCAGTTGGATTTAGTTTTCTTTGAAAAATTAAAGGCACATATTGTAAAACTGCTGTTTTTAAAGCATATGGGAATGTATTCTTAATTAGCCTATATACTGCCAACCACTGTGTGTTTGTATATTTGTGTGTGTGAGAGACATAGAGATAGATAGAGAGAGAGAGAGAGAGAGAGAAAGAGAGGGAGAATACAGACAGAAGAAGAAACACAAGGAGATAAATCTTACATAAAAGTATTATACTTTACAAGGTCATTGAATAAGGTGAGAGATGTGGTCTTTAATGGTCACATAAGGCAGAAGCAACAAATTCTTACACTAGATGTGATTATACACGTATATAAATAACATATTCTAATTATATTATACATGCACCTTAGCGTAGGCATAGCGTAGAGTATCTAATGGTGAAATGTGAGGGTTACGGGAAACCCATTCTCCAACTTGGGCCCAGTTTTCATGGAGCCGGAGTGCCCTTTGTTGGTCCTGGGCCCCTCCCCAGGGAAGTTTGTGTCTGGGATCACACTGACGTCTTCACTGTTCCTCTCACAAGAACACAAGTTTGTGGCAGTTGGTCACAGAACTCAGCTGCCAGAAAATTTGACACTTGGACATGGATCTGGAGATGGTGACTGAGCTCATGAGGAGTGGGTTAGAATTTGTGCTCCCTCGTGACCTATGCCCCTGATCCACTCCCTTGACTGAGGACTGGCGGATCCAGCTCCAGCAGGAAGCGCTGGCTGTGATGGAGAATCCAGAGACAGCACAGGTGAGGGAGGGGGTCAGTGAGGGCCTCACCAGGCCAATAAATGACCATGAAATACGGTGGTCGGTGTGCACGGGTTCTGGAAAACTAACTGAAATTCCTACATACACACATTTTGGTAGGAATGAAGAATTCACTTTTGTTCAATTTGTGAGATTTCTAGACAATTCAGCAGATTCTGAGAATAAATTCAGGCACATATGTGGTAAACTTGCAACCAAATTAAAAAGAAACTACTTTCAGTGGAATGATATTGAATTGTTTTCTTTTACTATAAAGAGGGTGATTTTCAGAATAGAAGTGAGGCATGATAGCCTAATGGCATCCTCTGTGTCTCCTGACAGAAGCAAGTAAAATCGTGGTTTCTATATAAAAATCCATCAACAGTGCCTTGTCCCTGAGAATGCACCTCCCATTCCTCCAGCATTAGGGAGCCCATGGTCCGGGCACCAGCTGCTGCTCTCTGAGGTCCATCATCTGGTTGGTGCTAAACACACACGTCCTGGAAGCTCATCCCAGACAGTGAGTGGGCACAGCGGAGATGAAAAGGCACGGCAGCTGCCGCTCACGTGGCGGATCCCTGATGGGCACCTAGAGCTCAGGGAGGCCTGATGGCCCTGCTGGACTTAGTTTGGACCACATGGTACTTAGGGAGCTCCATCAGACTCCCCATTTCTCCCTCACTGCTTGTGAAACTTGAATCCTGGGCAGACAGTGTCCACAGCCTCACCCGGCTTCTTGTCCCTTTTTTTTCTCCATCTGTGACATCTGCTTTAGGGGTGTTTGATAGCGGTTCCTCTTATAATAAACTTTACGAACTTAGAAACCTCAGTAGTAGGTATATAACTGTAAATATACGAGGCCCTCTGGGGAACTGTTAGATGAGAGGAAGCCAGAGACCCTGAAGGAGAGCAGCCCTTGACCTCCACCTGCACCTGCCCTGGGGCTGCACCTGCCCTGGGGCTGCACCTGCCCTGGGGCTGCCCCTGTCCTCTGTGTAACCTGAGCACCCCCTGGTGGTTCCATACGCCCCTGCAGGGAGGTTTGTGTCTGGGCTCACACTGACCTCCCCTCACTGTGTCTCTCACACAGTAATACACGGCTGTGTCCTCAGCTCTCAGGCTGTTCATTTGCAGATAGAGGGAGTTCTTGGTGTTGTCTCTGGAGATGGTGAATCGGCCCTTCACAGAGTCTACATAGTATTTCTCACTTCCATCCTACTTTATGTCGGCCACCCACTCCAGCCTCTTCCCTGGAGACTGTCGGATCCAGTTCATCCTGGTGCTACTGAAGGTGAATCCAGAGGCTGCACAGGAGAGTCTCAGGGACCCCCCAGGCTGTACCAAGCCTCCCCCAGACTCCACCAGCTGCGCCTCACACTGGACACCTGCAAACACAGAGACACCCTGGTCAGAAACTGCCACACTTATTCCCAGTTTCTCTCACTCATATTCACGTACATTCAACTCATTCCCCATGAATCACCTTTGAAAATAGCAACAAGGAAAACCCAGCTCAGTCCAAACTCCATGGCGAGTCCTGTGTGTTCAGTGTTGATCACCGAATAGAAACCTAGGGAATTCTAGGGCTGGGGCTCCCAGAACTGCAGGGTCCGGGCTGGGCTGCTTTTCATCAGCAGAGGGAGGGACCTATTTGCATGTCTCCTACTGTATAGCAAGCTCTGGGGTGGGGCGCCTGAGGAGAGGGCAGGGCCCAGAGCAGATGAGTGTTCTGCAGGAGTTTAGAGATATTGATACGATTTTGGAAAATGTAGTTTCTTATTATAAATTTGTTTTGTGATAAACTCTTTAAACCTACAATTGTATTTGTAACTTTTATTTTAAAATAGTTTTACTGAAGTACAATGGACCTGTGAAAACTGCATATATTTAAACTTATCAGCAATCAATCATCTTATTTAATTTTTACATATGTGGAGAAATCAATGGTATGTAGTATCAATGTTATTTCCATGTTAAAGATGGAAAATTACCAGCAGAAGCACAGATGGGTGGTACAATGTTCCCAGAGATCACATTTGGTCAGAGTGAGCCCAGATACCTGGGTCTGTGCTTCTCACCACTGGGCCTGGCTGCTCCCTGAATCAAGCCCAGCACAGTGTGGGTCACCCCAGTGATATTTTCAGAACTTTCTTCCTGTAATGAAAGCATGGTGTGATGTGTATGCACTATTGTGTTTACCTAATGAATGTAAAGAGAACACATTTTATGCGGTTGTATTTTCATAAATGTCAGACATTCATCATGTTAGTGTCTATTTTTCCATGAATCTGTACTGAACAAATTATTCATTCATTGATTTGTAATACTCTTATTGAGACATCATTACTATACAGTAAATATTGCATGAAATGTTTGGTTTAACAAGTGCTCAAGCCGATCCTGGTGGCACACAATGGTAGTTTCAGCTACTTAGATGGCAGATGCAGCAGGATTGTTGGAGACCAGAAGTTGGAGGCTACATTGAACTATGATCCCACCACTGCACTCCAGCCTGGGTCACAGAGTAGGACCACATCTCTTCAGAAACAAACAAACAAAACAAAATGTAATTCCACGTGTGCTTATCTGTGCATCCACAAGAAACATTCAGATAATGAACAAATAAATGACACTTAAAAGTTTCCTTGTGTTCCTGTGCAATTCCTTCTTCCCAATTATTTTCTTCCCTCGCCATATTTTGAGTCAATCCTTCATATTAAATACTTTGGTTTTGAGTTTCAAGAATTTACTATACGGGAATTATATAGTATGTGTTTTATTTGTGTGGCTTCTCATGCATCATAACTACTTGTGATGCAACCAAGTTGAGCATCAACAATGTCTTGATTCTAGTGATGGATATTATTACAGTACATTAGCACGTCATTAGTGTTATTTATATATATATATATATCTTCTTGAATCATTTCTAGTTTCTGAGTATTACACACAGAGGTGCTACTCAGCTTGGAGATGTAGGCATCCCATAAAAAATGTGTTATTATTCTTACAGCAACACTAAACTTACTGATCTGCAAATTAGCACATTTTTCTTAAATACATCAGATTTTTGATGTTATAGGACAAACAAGATATCTGAAATCTGAAGAGAGATAAGGACTTGCAGGGAAATAAACAGGAGCAGATGATAATCTTTTCTGGGGCAGAGGCTGCCAAATGTCATTTAAGCTAGCACAAGATTAAAGTAGACATATTCTTTGGATGGTTTCAATTCTGTGTGATAGTGAAGTTATTGTTTAAATTCTCAGAGTGTATACAGTTGAGGAATTCCTCCTGCTCTTGAACCTTTTTCTTCAGTCCTGGGGACACATCACAAAATGCTCCAGCCTCTACCCCTTGGGACGGTGCTGTCTGGGAAAGCAAAACAGCAACTACGGCTGAAATGCATCCAGACACACCTCCCCATCACCACTACCTTGCAAGAGAAATTATCTGCAGAGGTAAAGCCATCAAAACTGCTCTTCTGCAGACACTGGAGAAACCAATCAGAACTGGGAGGGGACAGAGGAATGCACCAAATCCCTGTCCAGGCCACCATCTTCCCTCAGGAGTGACAACCTTATTCAAAAGGAAAAGGCAGTAAAGAGGAAACTGAAGAAATCAGTGGGAAGACATAGGGGTTGCTGAATGAACATATGAATAAAAATGAAGAGGTCAGGTGTGATGGCTCATGCCTGTAATCCAAGCCACTCTGGGATGCCAAGGCAGGAGGATCACCTGAGGTAGGGAGTTAAAGACCAGTCTGACCAACATGGAGAAACCCCATCTCTACTAAAAATACAAAATTAGCCTGGCGTGGTGGCACATGCCTGTGATCCCAGCTACTTGGGAGGCTGAGGTAGGAGAATCGCTTGAACCTGTGAGGCAGAGATTGCAGTGAGCTGAGATCATGCCACTGCACTCCAGCAAGAAGAGAGAAACTCCATCTCAAAAAAAAAAAAAAAAAGAAAAAAAAAAAAAAAAAGAACGAAAAAAAAGAAGAATGAAAAGAATCAGCTGAGTGTAGATAAAGAGCCCTGGAAACCTAGCTACTTGCTACTCAGGAGGCTGAGGTGGGAGGATTCTATGAGCCAGGAATTCAAAATCACAGTGAGCTATGATCACACCACTGCAGTCCAACCTGCACAGCAGAGTGAGACCCCGTCTCAAAAAAAAAAAAAAAAAAAAAAAGAATTAAGTATTTTACACAATTGTAAAGCTACTGAAATAGAAGTTAAACTGCACATCCTCATGTATCCTCTGGCACTTCTGATATTTTGAAGAAGACAGGTGACCTAAGACCTTCAGAACAAGCTGATGATCTCAAATCATGAAAAGCTTCCACACAAGACATTGGACCAGAATCCTCCTCCATATCCTCGTTCTACACATTATTCTTTTGCTTATAAACAGTCTTCTCATATTCTGCAGACCTGGCTGTTGTCCACCCATGTTGGAGTCTTGTCTCGTTTCTTACTCATCAGTTGTATAGTTGCTATTTAGAGTAAATCTTCAGACTCCGTGTTTAGGCCTGACTGCTGACCACTTAAGGCTCTTTCCTCCATCATTTTTTTTTTTTTTTAAGCATACAAGGAAAATCTAGTTAGAAATCACAGGAGCTCCCTCATGTGATGCCAGTTTGACCTTGAAACCCCACAAAACCCTTCCTGCAAGTAGGATGGTTCCCCAGCCCCCTACCAAACCGTGATAAAAACCCTGAGCTGGTCTCCTTCCCTGCTCTATCAAGCCACTTTGGACCTTCATGAGAGACCTGCCCTGCTCTCAGCAGACTCCTCAAGGATGCCGGTAACTAACATTTCCATACTCACTTGGTGTGAGTGTGTAGCATTACCAGACTCAATATCCACAGAAAATTTTAGTCGAGATCTCTGCATTTGCATGGTGTCAGCTACACAACGGATGCTGGGAGCTTGGTGTCACGGCAACTTCCCAAGGACATGCCTGCTCCCTGAGTTAACTCCAGGACACAGTTGGACGTGCCTCCTGGGGTTTGAGAAGCTCCCTTCATGTACTGAAATCCTGTCATTATGTTTTTTGTATTCTAGTGTTTCCCTAAAATTATAGTGAGATCCAGGATTCATTCATGTGTATATTCAAGGACTCTGATTTTTATGTATTTTATTAATCTCTCTCTCTACCACTTTTTCTACCAAATTATACATTTTAAAAGTTGCAATATTTTAATGAGATGAAATTAGCAAATAAGAATCTTTACATAAAGTGTACAATTTTACAAGTAGACATAATCCTCACTTTTCCTAACAGAGAAAAAATAAATTATCCTAGAAATTTCCTTTTGCTCTTGTGTAGTTTCTCCTTTCTACACCTTCCTTTCTTGTACCATGTCCACAGTCAACTACAGATCTTTTTATGTAACTTTAAAGTTCATTTTTACTTTATAGAAATTATAGAAATGGAATTGTACATATGCGCTTGTATTTTTTTGCCTTATTTTTCTCATTCAGGTACTTGTTACTTTAAGCATGGTGTTGAGTGTATCTGGCAGTACCTGATTGTAACAGTGGGTATTATTCCAGTAAATGAATTTTCCACAATTTTTTTACCAGTTAAGCTGCTGACTAACACTTGGATCGCTTTTGGTCTCTGGGTATAATAAACAAAGATGCTACTTAGCTTATTGAAGTAACCAGCTAAGAAACACATGGTTCTTATTTTTACATGACATGAATAGCAGGCAAAGCAGAAAAGCTGCACACTAATCAGTTTGCTTCAATACATCGATAGTAAAAGTTGGGGAGCTCTGTGCATGTGTCAGTTCATGTGCTTTTGTGTGACACAGAGAGAGAGAATGGAGGAGAGACCAAGAAAAAAGAGACCCCACATGTTTGGACCATAATGTATGAGGTACTCAAGTAAATACAGGGACTTGGTGCCTGATGGACAAGGTCCACATAAGATGGAGAGGACAACTTGATGCACCTCCATATGAGTATATATTAGTGTTTACATAAACCCAATTTTCTAATCATAGAAACAGACACATTAGAAAAGATGTAGTGGAGGGGTCTGGTGGTGAAATATGATGGTGAAAACAACCTACATCTACAGCCCCTTTTCTGCCCTGTTGGCACCTGCCCCAATGCTGAGCCTTGATCCTGCTCATCCTGACCCCCTGACAATCATCCTAAGCCCCCGTACTGCCCGAGTGCCCCCTGCTGGTCCTATGCACCCCTGCAGGGAGGTTTGTGTCTAGGCTCACAACGAAGTCCCCTCATTGCTTCTTTTCCTTAAAAATGCATACTTGTGTATTCAAGTAGACAAAAGCTCAGCTGTAAGAATTGGTTCTTGGATGTGGATATGGACTCTTGAGAAGTGGGTTGTAATTTGTGCTCCCTTCACAACCCATGAACCTGATCCACTCCTGTCCATCTTCTAGGGGCAGATACAATTCTAGCCGGAAACACTGGTTATGATGGGGAATCTAGAGACAGTGCAGGTGAGGGAGAGGGTCTGTGAGGATGTCTCAAGCCAGAAGTGTGCTGAGAAA